AGAATATGTACATGCATTTAAATTTAAAGTATGCAAATTAGAGTTTTATTTATGTACATGTGTAATTAATTGGTTTTAATTTTCTAGTTCATTATAGTGACTATATTTGCTGTGTTGGTTGGTGGATTTTATTATCAGATTGATACTGATCAAAATGGATATCAAAACAGGTGGTCAATGACAGAGAAGGAGAAAGAGGAATCTGATGCATGTTAATGTACCATGTACTTATGCTATGTAGAAAGTTTGAGCTGATTCCAACTTGAATTTTTTAAGTTGTGGCCACTTAAAGAAATTGGCCAATTTCTGAAAAAACTCCTGTACTATACTATAGCCCATGGTTTTTCCAAAAATGGCTCAAAAATCCCCTTCAATTTTTATGACATTTTCTAATGCATATTGATGTACTTATGCTATGTAGAAAGTTTAAGCTGATTCCGACTTAAATTTTTAAAGTTATGGCCATTTTTTTAAAATCAGCCAATTTCTGAAAAAACTCCTGTACTATAGCCCATGGTTTTTTTCCAAAAAATGGCTCAAAAATCACCCCCAATTTTATTACATTTTCTGATGCATATTGATGTACTTATGCTATGTAGATTGTTTGAGCTGATTCCAACTTGAATTTTTCAAGTTGTGGCCTTTTTAAAAAATCAGCCAATTTCTGAAAAAACTCCTGTACTATAGCCCATGGTTTTTCCAGAAATTGGCTCAAAAATCACCCCTAATTTTTATTACATTTTCTGATGCATATTGATGTACTTATGCTGTGTAGAAAGTTTGAGCTGATTCCAAGTTAAATGTTTCAAGTTATGGCCATTTTTTTAAATCAGCCAATTTCTGAAAAAACTCCTGTACTATAGCCCATGGTTTTTTTCCAAAAAATGGCTCAAAAATCACCCTCTATTTTTATTACATTTTCTAATGCATATTGATGTACTTATGCTATGTAGAATGTTTGAGCTGACTCCAACTTGAATTTTTCAAGTTGTGGCCTTTTTAAAAAATCATCCAATTTCTGAAAAAAACTCCTGTACTATAGCCCATGGTATTTTTACAAAAAATGGCTCAGAAATCAACCCCAATTTTTATTACATTTTCTGATGCATATTGATGTACTTATGCTATGTAGAAAGTTTGAGCTGATTCCGACTTGAATTTTACAAGTTTTGGTCATTTAAAAATATCATCCAATTTCTAAAAAAAACCTGTACTATAGCCCATAAAAATGGCTCATAAAAATCACATCTAATTTTCATGTGTTTTTTTTGATAGATTTTACTACATGTATAACTTACATCATTATTGTTTGTTATTAGGATCGGAGCTATCTTCTTCATTGTGATGAATCAGATATTTGGTAACTTGTCAGCCATTGACCTCTTTATAAGGCAGAAGCACATATTCATGTAAGAGGAAAATGTATTCGGTACATTTGTGTCAACTAATACATGTATTAATTATGTCAAGATTCTAAATGTGCACAATGTACTATAGCTTTTATCCAGGCTTTAAGAGCAGACCTGATGCATGCAATTGTACATGTATATACATGCATGTACACATGTACATGTATATGCATAGATTATTGTACAATTTTATCTCTTTCTATAGTCATGAGAATGCCAGTGGGTTCTACAGGGTTTCCTCGTACTTCATTGCTAAGGTTCTCTGTGACATTATACCAATGAGGGTATTACCACTCTGTATATTTGCATCAGTGACATACTTCATGATGGGTAGGAGAGGGAGAAAGAGAGAGAGGGAGGGGGGAGGGA